AGTACCAACCTGATAGGTTCAGGTGTCTGTTGGTTAGCCAGAACTGATAGGTTCAGGGTCTGTGCTTCAAGTTAAGGGTTCTGTGTGAACCAAACTGTGTGTATGTATGAGTGAAACTAAGCCACGTTACTTTATCTTATTCACCTGATTATTTTATTTTCCTGTGTGTGTATTTAAATAAACCTTATTCTTTTTATTGTTTGAAAATCCATCCCTGGTCTGTGTGACTTCTTACAGGGAATGGTTGGTGGCAGCTTAGTAAACGTGTGGCAGATCCCAGTAGGTCTGGGTTTGTCACAGGGAGAATCTTCTAGCAGGATTCAAGGGGATCCAGTCCATTTTTGTACCAGTTCATGGCATTCAGAAGAACCCCCACGGACACCGTCTACTTGGGCGGCAGCCAAGACCGACCACGTGGTCTACTATTCCTTTGTGGGAGAAGCTACCTGTTGTTGTTTTTTGAAGAAGTTTTTTTTTTTGACGTGGGATCAATTCAAACAGCAGCTAGATTGGCTTGGAAATGGCCGATCATGGATCCGTCTCCCCGCCCCCCAATAAAAACTCTTGATGCAGAGAAAAACCACTTGGCACGGGGGCAAGGCTGTGTGCGACTTGGTTTGAGTCTCGTTCAGACTTTTAATTCAGAGTCGTGTCCCGAAATCAAATGTGCATCGCCCGGAGTCTCAACGGCGCACCCTGGCAACGGGCATTTCACCCCCGGGGTTTTCCGTTCATCAGTTTCGAAAGAGAGATGAAAGAAAGCAAAGCCTGAATGTAAATGTCAAGGAGAGTTCATGCAATAATTTCTTTAGCGAGAGAGAGAGAGAGAGAGAGCAGAAGTCAGCTTAGAAAAGCTACCTTTTTGGATTACAAATCCTCTGTATCGTCAGAAGCTAGAACCACTCGTAGCCCAGCCTCCCTTCTGCAAAAAAACCCAATACTTTTTCCAAGCTCTGGAACTGACTACATACTGTGAGCTTCCCTGTTTGTTCTGGACTGTTTCTATAAACAGTCACTTCTGTGTTCTGTTTTCTGTGGCCTGATTTCCAAAACGGGCATGTAGCTTTTTCCAGCTTATGCCCCAAATTTCTTCGGCAGGTTTGGTTTAGCTCCTGAGTGTTTGCTGTAAAATTGGGGATCTATTGGGATGCCGAATGAATTGTTTACTCTCCATAGAGTTTGTTTAAATGAAGCAGGAGTGGTTAGGAGGTGGCCATCAAAGACACATGGACTCATTAGGGTGGGCCTTAGAGGTGCCTTGATGAAACATCGTTCATTTTAAAATCAAAGCAGGCCAGAAGTTGGTTTTAAGGGCATCCCCTTTTTGAGCCACAACACTTATGCCACCTGTCCCACCCATCATTTAGGTTTAGATTTCAGGTTCCTAGCTAGATTGATTAGATGAGATGTGAATATTTTTCCTTTTCTTCCTGATGATCTCAGAAGTTGGTTTTAAGGGCATCCCCTTTTGAGCCACAACACTTACTGTATGCCACCTGTCCCACCCATCATTTAGGTTTAGTTTCAGGTTCCAAGCTAGATTGATTAGATGAGATGTGAGTACTTTTTTCTTTTCTTCCTGATGATCTGTTATTATATTGTTGGGATTCTTGTTGGTTGTACCCTGCCCAGAGAGAGTAGTGGCTGGCCCTCATCAGGTGGCATACAGGTATGTGACATGCCGTATTTTTCCGTGTATACTTTTGTCTAAAATCTTTAGACTAAAAATTGAGGGTCGTCTTATACATGGAAGTATGCTGAGGAGAGAACAAAAACAAGTGGAGGGGGAAAGCAGAGATCAAAGCGATCCTGCAGCGCTTTGATCCCTTTCCCCCTCCACTTGCTAAGCCCCACTTAGATTTCTTAATTTCAGATTAGAAAAGTGGGAGGCGTCTTATACATGGGGGCATCTTATACATGGAAAAATATGGTAAATAAATAAATAAAGAATACATTTCTGGTCACTTGATTTCATTAGGAGAGGGGTCAAGATGATCAGGGCCATAACCACGGGAGAGCAGCCAGAGCTTTGCCCTAGGCCCCCAAATTTAGAAGCCACAAAAACTGAGAGGTGAAGCTACTAGTGGATGTTAGGATAACAAACATCAGCACCTATTGCCAGCCCTATTCCCTGCCCCATTTTTGGAAAGCATAAATGTTATCTTCTTTTGAGAGGGCACCACATTCTTCTCCCGTTTCATTGGGGGGGTCATGTTCGTGTTTCCAAATGGGAGATGGTGCATTTCCCCCAGGTGCCAATATGGTTGCTTTGGTCCTGGACCTTTTTAATGTCCCAAGTTGTTCCACAGTCTCTTTCTCTCTTTAAGTTGAACCCTGGATGTGAGATCTTTTTAAAAGGATGTTTTGCTCAGCATTCCCGAAAAGGAAGGATTTTCCAGCTCCCAAAGATTATTCGTTCTCTGTTTAATTCACTGTCTTCCACAGGTGATGTTACAACAGAGAAGGGAAAGCATTTATTATCACGTTAGTAAAATTACACAGGCACAATCTGTTCAAAACCGTGACTCCATTTCCAGCTTACAAGAAAGAAAATTTTTTTGGGGGGGGGATTAGGAGAGTATTTCGATCCGGTCCACCTACACCAAAGCATTCCAACCACGTACACGTGGCAAAAGATTAACTACACACAGGAGGCTGCAGGAAAACAGATAGACTTGGGTTTTTTCAAAAGCAATAGGGCAAAACCGAATATTAAGAAGGGCTGTTCTTCCATCTTGGTCACTGCTGACTTAAAAAACAGAAAAACTGGCTCTATCCCTTGCTAATTATACCTCCAGTTTCACAATATTATTCACAGGTCAAACAACTATCATAGTTTTTGCTTTTTCTCACTTATTTGTGCGCCTACGCAGTAATGAAAGAATTTGCAGGGACTCCTGCAGTTGTGATTGGCTGACAGCTCCCGATCTTTGGATCTCCCCGGAGATTGTGGAGGAAACCGCCAAATGGGCAGCAGGGCATCATCCTTTTGAAAATAGAAAATATTTCCCAGATCTTCCTTCAAAATTTAGACCAAACCCTCAACATGTCAAAGGTTCAATCCAACCCTGTCTTAAGATCTCCATTTCTCACTAGGCTGTGTACCTCTTTACTCTTTTCCATCATTCAAGCTGCTGATCCATTAACTACCACCCCGTGACCAAAATTCAGGGACTTCAACGAAGGTTATGCCGCAGAAGGAACATGTCCCATGGCAAGGAACGCTGGAATTGAGGGCGGAAAGGGTAGCGGGAACGGGTTGGGGGTCTTAACTTCCCACCTATAACAAATACAAAACACCAATAAATAGAAATACAGTAAAAGAGAAGAATGTTGATTCCCAGTCTTTTGCCACGATCTGGAATACAAGGCAGAACAGGACAACCGAAAGCCCAGTGCTCCTAACAGAGCCCTCCCGGTGGATTCCGATGCCCCGAAGGAGCCATCTTTTGCTACACCGAGCCAAGTCTTGGGGATTGACCGACAGCCAGAAAGGGGAGCCCAAGGGTCTGGAGGAGATGGTAGGACCCGGCATAGAGGTTCTCCACCGTGGCGGTTCTTAGCCCGTCCTTCTCGCCCACTCTGCCGAGGATCCTCTCTGGTCCGTTCGCGTTTCTGTTCACTGTCGATGTCGGTAGCCTCTGGTGGCCGAAGCTGGAAAAATGCAAGAGAAGAAGGTAAGAGAGGTCAAGGGTCTTGTCAAGAACGGCTTGCTCACCGGACCTCCAAGGGACCAGTCGGAATACCTTCTTTGAAAAAGGAGCGTCTTTTCTTAAAGCCTTGGGCCACCAATATTTTAAAGACACTGGCACCCACTCGACGTCTGTAGTCAAGTGGGCAGGCTCTGTGGTTCAACGGCGGAACTCCCTGCCACAAGATGGAGCGACGGCTGGCAATCTGGATGGCTTTTCAAGGGGGGGGAGGCCCTTGGGCAGAGGGCCGTCGCATCCCTGAGTGGAAGAGGGATGTCTCCTGCTCCAGAACTTACCGGGTTGCATGTGCACCATCCGGCAGAGACCTCTCCCCGGAAGATTCTTGTACACAGGCTTCACACACACTTTGTTGGTGCTCCCCGCAGCCAGGTCGGACAGCAGCACGCTGTGGATCTGGGGTGACACACTGAGGAGGGTCGAAGGGCCCGCCTGCCGCCGGCACCTGACCCGGTAGCCAACCACGCTGCCGTCGGCAGGATCCCAGGAGGCTTTGACCGTAGTCGGGCTTATCTCTTCAAAGCGAAGGTGCTTGATTTTGGATTCCTCTAAGCAATTGGGAAAGAAACAATGACACAGGTTAGATGCAAACAGAAACAGCCTTCTGGTTGTTAGGCTCACCCTTTTTTGAAGCTCAGCCTCTCCCTACTGGCCACACCCTTTTCAGAGGCTCCTCCCACTTCTTACTGGCCACACCTTCACTGAAGCCCCACCCCTTCTCCAAAAAGGCTCCACCCTTTCTCGTTGGCTCTGCCTGCGTGAAGTCCCAACTGTTCCCCCTTGGTCATCCTCGCTTGGCGCTCCACCCCTCTTCATTGGCCACGCCTTTTTTGTGAAGCTCTGCCTCTTTTCCTTAGCCCCTCCCTCCATTGGCCCTGCCTTCTTTTGAAGCTCCACCCCTCCTCCTTAGGATTCGCTACGAAGGGCATCAACCTGTGCAGGATTTGATCATGTCCTGCACAGGACACTAGGCCAAAAAAAAAATGTCAGAGGGAAAAACAGGGAGGACATGAGACCAAGATCTCATTTTTGTGGGATGTCACAAAATCTTAGTGGTTCAGGGGAAGTTCTTGGTTGGGAAGCTTTGAGGTCATGAAATTTGAAAAGAATCAAGGAAAAGAATTTTTCGAACAGGCATAACATTTTTTGTTCTCACTAATGCTGTTCTACGGAAGGGACACTTAGAAAAGACCTGCTGATAACGTTTCGAAACCATGTTAAGACTATTCTCTTCTAATAAACATTTAAGGTTTATAAAGATGAATGAGAAGGCAGTTCCTAATCTCTGGCTTAGAAAGTCATGGCACAAGAGGAAAAAAAGATGAGGAGGGCAGAGGAAAAATGAAGCACCGCTTTTTAAATTAGGGTTGGTGCAGTGATTTAAAAATCACAGGCCCTGCTGGTACCTCCTGCCTCTCGCGATGCCCGCATCTCACTCACCTTCTTGAGTGCACGCTTTGGCCGAAAGGGCTTTTTCTTTGCCAGATTTATAAATGGCAGAAACTGTCACCAGGTAAGTGGTGTTGGCCCTTAAGTCTTCCAAAATGGTGCTGTTGAGGGTCCCTTTGACCTCCACCACCTTGACCGAGTTCCCGGGCAGAGGCCCGTACATGATCTGGTAAGTGGCCACGCTTTCCGGCGTCGGAGACCAACTGACCCGAACGCTGTGGGCCTTGGAGTCGGAGATGAGAATCTGGACCGGGCTGGTGACCTCTGGTTGGAAAAGAAAAAAAGATGCAAGACCATCCGTCGTGTCTTAAACCAAGCGCCAAAACATCCCTGCTAGGCGGGGCGAGATCTCTCCATTACACTTTCCTCCCAAATCCAGCTTTTTAAGGTTTGATTCCCTGGGTGTTCCCATTAATGGTTCGGACTCAAACCCGGAGCCGATCCAAACGTTTCCCCTGCCCCTGAAATTTTTCCGCCATGTCAAAGAAAATAGAAAATGTTTCCAGCTCAGCCTCGTCCGGCTGGCGACAGCTCCAGTCAACTCAGTCTTCAATATTACATTCCCTGGAGAGTTTCACTGAAATGTCCATCAAGAATGGCAACACAAGTTAATAAAACAGAGCAATAAGAAAGCCGTCAGACAGTAATGGGGAAAGTAATTAAATCTGCTCTCTCTCTCTCTGAGTGGAAATTAAGGCCTTGTCCGAACATGAAACATTTTCGCACTAAGCCACTTACCTTCCAACGTCGTGACTCTGGTCACCTGGGGCGGGATATAGCGCTCGTTCGATTCTGGAATAAGAGCCACCTCGTACGTGGTTTGAGGCATGAGGTTATTGACCACGATGGTGGTGTGGTCCCCGGGCATCTGTTTCCTCGCTTTGTGCCTCGGTTTGCCATTCGGGGCATATTCTAAGACGTAATACCCCGTATCCCGGGTCAGGAGGTTGGGCCAAAGAAGCCGAAAGCTGTCGGAAGAGATTTCGGTCGCTCTCAGACGCTTCGCCTGCATGACCTCTGGGGAAAAAAAGGAGATGGGGTTTTTCTCTGTTTTAAAAACAAACCCAAGTTGCCCCATGGAGAAGACAAGAAAAGGTAAAACCCACAAGCAGGCAATATTTTTATGAGGATCAATGAAAATTGTCCCATGTTGCAGAGTTTTGTCATTTGTTCCAACTCTTTTAGCTCCACAGCAGAAGTGGAGGGATTCGCAGAGCAGCCTTAGCTTCCAGCTCCCCAGATTCATCCACCACCCCCATTTTTTTCACATCCACTGGCGCTTACAGTCTCAATAACTCAGTCCGAGTCATTGGTAAGAAGAAATAATAAAAGATTTCATTTACTTACAGGGAATACAGATAACAGCAAGCTAAGCGCTTACAGTCTCAATAACTCAGTCCGAGGCATTGGTAAGAAGAAAGAATAAAAGATTTCATTTACTTACAGGGAACACAGATAACAGCAAGCTTAAAAAAAACCAAACACAACTGCTTTAAGCAACAGGCCTCAACAGACTCACTGACAGCTTCCAAGAAAGAAGGGGGAAAGTCAAAAGGAGAGAGGCGAGACTCACAGAAATTTGGGGGTTTGGGTAAGAAGGCATATTATTGCATGCGACCAGCAGATGGCAGCAGAGACAGCATTTACAAGGTTGGAAGCCTTCAAATAGAATCTGTCCCTCTTCTCAAAGCAGACTCAGGATTTGGTCATCCAAAAGCATGTTGCTGGATCTCAAGCTTTGACTGCCCCTTAGGGTTTAGTGTCCCCATTCAGGCAGTTTGGTGCAGTGGTTGGAGTTCTGACCCGTCAGCTGGAAGGCGTAGGTTCTTTGAGCCCCTCCAATTTTGAAAGTCACTGCGTAACGGCGAGCCAGCCCTGCTCTTTCAGCCCGGTCTACCGCACAGGGTTGTTGTTAGGAGGGGAAAATGAAGGGAGAAGGATGCGACACATGTCTGAACTTCTCGGAGGAGAGTATGAGAAGTAAATCAGTTTGTAAATCAGTTTCATGGCTACCAAGGACTCCTGGCATGCTTCTATGGAGCCTCGGGGACTCAAATTTTGCGTCTAGGAAAATCGGAGCTCGGAAGCCGAACCGACTGAGGGATTAGGGGCTTTGTAGTCCGAAACCATAACTTTCCCGTGCTCGGAGAAAAATCGTGGCCTGTGAAATATGATTTGGGGAGAGGTGGGGAGAGAGAGGGCGGCCTAAAGGCAGCGACGTGATGGATTCGTCTCCGATGCCAGATCTTGGCCTCGTGGCAAGCCACGGAGGGACGTGAGCGAGCTCTGTTTGGGCTGGATCGGGCTGCTGTTTTCCATGAGCTACTGTACACAGACGTTCCAGCCCAGCCTATTTTGATGCCTGCCAAAACACGAACGCTCCCAGCTTCACTTTGCAGGCACTGGGATTCAGCAAATTTTAGCCAGGGAGGAGCAGCCCGGCAGCCGGTGTGGGGCAGAATGGGTAAAGCGTAAAGAGGAGCTGAGCACTCCCCCAGCCCCCGATGCCTCCCATGTTAAGCATACCTTTCAATCTAGTTGGCTTCCGTGGGAAAAAGAGCCCGCAAAGAATTCAACTACGATTCCCATCACTCCTTGCTAGAGTAAGGCTGGCTGGGGATGATGGGGGCGTGTATCTTTGGGTCTAGCCGTGTCAGGTTCACATCTCCTTTCTCCCATGAATGGAATGCATGGCTTTTCACTGGGACTGGCCGTATACGCCCACTCCCTTCCAGCAGTAGTTCTGGCGGAAGAGGATGGGATTTGTAGTCCAATCCAAGTGGGCACCTGATTGGGGAAAATCTGGACCACCAAGGCAGGAGATGACTCAACTTTAAGCAATCTCAGTCTCCCACTTCCATGCCTCCCTCTCAAGAATAAATTAGAAATAAATCATTCCGCTCTACTGTGTTATCGTTAGATTAGATAACATATCAATCCCATGCGCATTTTCTTCTTTTTTTAACGTTCAGATTGCAGAAGGCTTCCTTCAAAAGAGCACTCCTGTTTCAAGATGAATCTTTCAGAATGAGCACTTACTCCTAAGGAAGCAGTCCTGGATAAGAGCGAACCTTAAGGATTACTCAGAGCCGCAAATAACAGGGCGTCCTAGTTCTTGTCTTTACCTGGATCGTTCCCGGAGCTTGTGGGGGGCGGGGAGGAATTGAGCTACAACTTCCATAATCCCCTAGCGATGCTAGATGGGGATGCTGAGAGTTGTAGTCAAAAAAAGGGAAACTTTTCTAGGCGCTGACAATGCAGAACGATTCCTTGGAAAGCCGCTTGGTGTTTCTCCGAGGGCAGGTTTTGTAACCCAATGAGGCCGGAGCAATTCAGTCTGCCCTGCGGAGTATTTGCAGCGCTCCTTAAAGGAAAGAGAAAAATGAGCGAAAAGCAGATATTCCGTAAAGGAGGAAGGAAGGAAGAACCCAAGACATCAAAGAGCTCAGCAAGAAGGAAATCAATGAAGAGGGAAAAAGAATTAAATCCTATGGGGATTTTTGTAGGCAAAGAGGAAGGAAGACGGGCAGGCATTTAGAAGGGAAAAAAACAGGGCCACCGAAGGGTTTCGGAACCACACCAGCGAAAAAGCGCTACAAGGGAATAGCACAAGACCATGGAGGTTTTAAAGAGCAGTGTTTGAACAACTGAAGCTGGGGAATGCAGAGAGAGAGAGAGAAGAAGGGCCCTCGCCCTCCCCTCGAGCTAGTTGCAGCAAAACAGAGTCAGGTGTTGACATGCTGCCGCACCGCTAATGGACGCAAGCATCCGCACGAGGATGGATGTCGCTCCGCCAAGGAGGAAGCTGCTGGGAGAATGAGGAGGATTCAGACCGCCAGGCCCAGAGGAGAGGCCGGCCCTTCCTGCCTCACCCCATTCCCCTCAGATGCTGTCAAGGTTGGCACCGCTCCCGCCATGATCACACTGGGCTGTGCCAGGCTTGGCAGGGGCCCAGGCGGCTTCTTTCCCGGGGGGCAATCTGCCGTCGGATCTTTACAAGCCAAGGCAGGGTGGCTTCCTCGGAAGAGACCAGGTGGAAGAAAGGGAGAGCCTTCGCGACGCCGGAAAATAGATTCTCAAACGTGTCTCCCGTTGGTGCCCGTGGCACATTTAAACGGGTACCACCAACCCACCCTTGTCTCTCTTCTCCTGGTTCCGTTTAGATGCTGAGAAGTACACGATGCGACCTTACTTGTCAGCAAGTTATTTCCAAGCCACTTTTCTCTCTTCTTCTAAATAAAGAACCCTGCAATTCTGTCTTCTGCCCAATGAATCCGCACACTTCAAAATCTCCCTCTCCTCAGTTCCCCTGCTCAGCTCTTGCAAGGTCAAGCCTGTGGCTTCCTTTAAGTAGTCAGTCCATCTTGTATTGGGGTCCTCCTCTTCTCCTGCTGCCACTTTTCCCAGCATGATAGTCTTTTCCAGAGAATCCTGCGCGTCTCATGATGTGCCCCAAATAGGATAGCCTCAGGTTCAACCTTTTGGCCTCCAGAGAGAAATTCGGGGCTTGATGTGTTCTGGGACCCCCTTGTTTGTCTTTCTGGCTGTCCAGCAAATCCGCAAAGCTCTCCTCCAGCACTACACGTCAAACCAATCAATTTTTTCCTCTCTCAGCTTTCTTTCCTGTCCAGCTTTCACACCCAAACATGGTGATCAGAGCGTGGATGGTCTTGGTTTCCAGTGACTGATCCTTACATTTGATAACCTTTTCTAATCCCTTCCTTGTTATCTTTCCTTGCCTCAGTCTTTGGGGGGAGGCAAAGGGGGGCAAAATCCCAAGGAGGGGGGCAAACCCTATCTTTGGGCCATTTCAAATTTTGGAAACGAGGCAAGCTTTCAAGTTCTCTGCAGCACTTCCCTCATCCAACCAGGTCTCACACAAAACCCACAAAACAGTGGCCTGATGTCTACTTGCGCCATCACGTTAGCGCAATTGTGTACATTTTTCCTCCCCTTCAACGTGTGCTTTGTCACGCGCCCGACGCTGCAAGGGGTTGGAAAATCGGGCGCAGGACGGGTCGCCCCTTCGAGCGCGCTCAAGGGACATGACACGAGGGGAGCAAATCCTGCACAGCTGCCTTCCACCCAATTTGGGAGGTTTTTGACCTAGAAGAGACGGTTGTCATTTGCTTCTCTCGTCTTCCTGGCGGGAATTGCCAACCGCCACGGGAAGGCAGGGCATTTAATAGAAAGACAGGCCAAGAATGGAGAACAATGCCTCTCTGTGCATCCACAAAGGGGCCTTTGAAGAACATCAGCATGATGTGATATCATAGACCCATTTCTGGGCGTCCTCCCAGGCGGCCGGTTCTGGGTGGCTCTGCCCGCCCACAGCCTTGTCGCTGGGGTCCCACGCGCTTCATTCTCCTATTTATTCACAAGCTGCATTTACATCCCATTGCTCCAGAGACCTATATAGTTTGCCCTGCTGCTACTTTATCTAAACAACAACCCTGTAAAGTAGACCAGAAAAAGAGGAGTAAGGTCCTCTAGTGAGTCCCTTGGTTCAGTGGCCATTCGACCCCTGATGCTCTTCTGTTCCAAAGCAAAACCCCAACAAAATACTGTACTGACTCCTATTTATTTATTGAAAATATTTTTTATCCTGCTTTTCTCCTTAGAAACAACTCAAGGCAACTTACATTGCAGGACATGTTCCAGCTTTTCAGTATCTTTCATAAAAAGGCAGCAGCACCCAGAACTGCGCAGAATATTCCAGGTAACGTCTTGTCAAAAATGGGACAGAGCAGCCATATTCCTTCCCTGGACACCAAGCACACCTGTTCTGCCTTTTTTTGGAACTTGTGAACATAACTCTTTGCTTTCAGGGAGGGGGAATCTCTCACCTTACGCAACAGCATAGCGATGTAACGCCATTCCGCTCTGATCATGCTGTACCCTGATTCTGGCCCGTGTGTTCATCGCAGGACATGTTCCAGCTTTTCAGTATCTTTCATAAAAAGGCAGCACACAGAACTGGGCAGAATATTCCAGGTAACGTCTGGTCAAAAACGGGACAGAGCAGCCATATTCCTTCCCTGGACCTGGACACTAAGTACACCTGTTCATGTACACCTGTTCTGCTTTTTTGGAACTTGTGAACATAACTCTTTGCTTTCAGGCAGGGGGAATCTCTAGCCTTACGCAACAGCATAGCGATGTAACACCATTCCGCTCTGCTCATGCTGTACCCTGATTATGGCCCGTGTGTCGAAATATTGTAGGACACCCCTAGAGAACCAGTATGGTGTTGTGGGTAGAGTCTTGCACAAGGACTCTGGAGACCTGGGTTCAAATCTCACGTGACCATGGAAACTCACCGGGGGAGGCGGCAATGATAAATAACTGCTCGATCAACTTACACACCTCAAAAACAGGCGGAATCAACTCATTGGCACGCAAACGATAGAACACACCACCTTTTGAAAGAAAGATTTCTATTCAATTGAGCAACAGCTGGTGCCGTTAAATCGGATTATGATGAGGATCACTATCCTCTCTGTTGTGTTACCTGTGATGGAGTCTCTCAACTCTTTGGTGATAATGGTCAGATCGTCGACATCAACAAAATGCAGGTGTTTCTCGGGAGGTTTGCTCGCTGCGGCCGAGAGCTCCAAGTAATTCCCTCGGCCGGTGCTGACGATGAAAACGGTGACCCCCATGTCCTTCAACCGCTGCATGGGCTGAGAAATGTCATCCGTGGAAAAGCCATCGGTCACCCACACCATCACCTTGGGCACGTCGGCACGGGCCCCGGCCTCCGCGGTGAAAAGTTTATCCTTGGCAAAAGAGAGGGCTTTCCCCGTATTGGTGTCGCCCATTTTCTGTTTGATGTTCCGGAGGGCGTGCTGGACTGCCCCGCTCGAAAGGTAGCGGTCGAAGGGGAACTCCAGACTTGGCATGGTGCTGATGTGGACCACCCCTGTCTGGACATCATGGGGCCCAAAGGTGAAGGGCCGGAGGAGGTCGGCAATAAACTCCTTCACCCTGGAAAACTCGTAGTAGGAGACGCTGCCGGAGCTGTCCAGCAGGAAGAGAAGATCTCCTTCTAAGTCAGGGGCTGAGGGCTGTAGGCCTAAGGAGAGACAAGAAGAAGAGGCGTGAGCAATCCTAAAATGTTCCCCTCTCTCTTTCTCCAGTGTTCCCGGAGGCTCTGATTTCTGGGTTGTGACACCCCAAGGACAATAACAAGGCAAGCTGAACTCCTAAACATGTGCACTTCCTGCAGAGTAACTCCTAGCACATAGAGCAGAAGGTACCTCACCCATCTTAATGGACTCAATATTAGCCAAGACTTCTTAGGCCACCACTAAATGGAAAGTCCTACAATCATTCTAATGTTGAAGCTGAGGCAGTCCTATTTTGGGAAAGGTGGAAGGCGGCAGGGAAAGAGGAAGATCCAATATGATGAGATGGGCTGAGTCCTTAAAGGAAGCCCCAGGGTTTGAGTGTGCAAGAACTGAGCAGGGTCATGGAGGGCAGGATATTTTGGAGATGGTTCATTCGCAGGGGCCCCAGTGTTTAGTCTTTATCCGTTATCTTGGTGTCTCCCTAAATGAGCCCTCCCCACAATCTCCTGCCTTCAACAGCCCGGCTCAGTTCCTGCAGACTCAAGCCTGTGGCTTCCTTTAGAGAGTCCGTCACAATCATTCTAATGTTGAAGCTGAGGCAGTCCTATTTTGGGAAAGGTGGAAGGCGGCAGGGAAAGAGGAAGATCCAATATGATGAGATGGGCTGACTCCTTAAAGGAAGCCCCAGGGTTGAGTGTGCAAGAACTGAGCAGGGTCATTGTTTTAATTCCTCGATGCATGGGTCCTCCTCTTTTCCTGCTGCCTCCAACCCTTTCCCGGCATTTCTGTCTTTTCCAGAGTATCCGGCCTTCTCATAAGGTGGCCAGAGTCAGACAACCTCAGTTTCTACATTTTTGATCCAATCCTTTTGTTTTAATTCCTCGAAGCATCTCCACCCATTCGTTGACCAAACTTGGTTGGAGAAACATGGGTTTCTGCTGGGTGACAGCTACCTCATCCCCATGCACACGCTGGCCTTGGGAAAGGGGCTTTTTGGACTCTAATACCCATGATCCCTTAACAGGACCGCTCTCTGGTTCCTCTTCTTCCCTGAATGTTGGTCACGCTGGTCAGGACCGACAGAAGATGGAGTCAGGGAACGTACGGAGTAAAGACCGGCAGCCGCCCGAATTCTCTGGCAGAGACACAGAGAGCCATTTGCCGGCCAGATTATTTGGACACAATCTCAGAGGAAACCTGAGTCAGGGGATGTAGGACGTTGGAAGGCCAAACCTCTGGGCAAGGCAAGACGGGTCACAGGTTCCCCATCCCCAGGGAAGGACCAAAAACGAGGAAGCAGTCCTTCTGGGCCAAAAACAAACATCTGGAGTTCCCGGTCTCCCTCCCTCCCTGCCTGCTAGGCAACACAGCCCGAAGCTATAAAAGAAGGCTCAGCCATAAACCGCTGGGTCTGTTTGCAGGCACTGCCCTTCGGCAGGAAGCGTTCAGGGGTGGGGCGGAGAATATTTCCAGCGTGGACTGTTTTTTACCAGCCCAGATTTGTGTTTCGATTTTTTAAAAAGTCCTCCTCGGTGGTTCAAACCAGCCAAAGCCGCCTTTGTTGGCATCAGAGGAAGGCAAGAATGTGACACAGAGAGAGAGAGAGAGAGAGAGAGAGAGAGAGAGAGAGAGGTCAGCCCCAGTGAGCTTCGAAAGTGACTTCTGACTGTAAATAAATATGACTGTGGTTGGAAAGGGCACTACAACTCCCATCTTCCCCCAGCCAGCATGGCTTGGTTGCAGGATTCTTGGATCTGTAATCAGAGAGAGAAACAGACAGACAGACAGACGGAAAAAGAGAGAGGCACTCGGCCAAGCGCTTCACCGATGCTATCCATATGGGTGCCATCTGTAGACAGACAGACAGACAGACAGACGGAGAAAGAAAGAGGCACTCGGCCAAGCGCTTCACAGATGCTATCCATATGGGTGCCATCTGCAAGCAAGCAGTGGGAGGAGGATGCACTGGGTCCCAGAGCATCATCCTACTGTCGCTAAGGCTGGGTTCAGAGCATCATGAGAACCTCTCACCTCAAAAGCACAAAGCGACAGGATTCTAGATATCGTGCCTCTGTTTCCATGAATTGTTGCTATTTCTAAATGCACACTTATACTTACAAATTCGTGCCGTAGGAGAGAAAAGACTGTTCAGAAAAAAATGCTGTCTTTCCATTGAATCTGCCATCTTTAGCATGTGTTTCTCTTAAATCATAGTGATTACTGCAGAATGTAAGCTATAGTAAGACTCTCTTATCTGTAGGATCAGTATCCACTTATCCGCTGGCTTAAAATGCTAAATAAAAAATCCTAGAAATACATATTTATATGTATTTCCAGGATATATTTACCAAAACTGGCCACTAGCCTTTTGCTCGATCCAGCTGTGCTCTTAAGCCATATCCTAGGGATCTGAAATTATTATTTATGAATAGTTTAAACCGCACTGAAAGCATTCCATTAATATTTCTCTTCGGCTTCATCAGCTGAGCCTGTTTAAGAAAGACCTGGAGAACGTCTAGAACTTTTAGAGATTTTGCAGGCGACCCCGAAAACTCGTCTGCAAGAGATTTCATCTGCGCCGGGATGACAGCAGCCTCCCTCTAAGCCCAGACGGAGAAAGAAAGCAGAGAAAATAACTTTATGGACGAGATTGCATGCTCCTCATGTTAACCATGCCAGGAATGGCTCCAGTGAGGAAAGAGGGATTATATTGACCCTCATTGCTCGGGAAACCAGCGGATAACTCTGGAGCAGCTATAAAGACGATCTCCTTCTTGGGGGCTATAAGTTTCAATCTCATTTTGAAGCAATGAATGCCAAAAAAATGATGCCTGGGAGGGAAAAAGTGGGGGGGGGAGAGAAGGGGAAATGAAAACATTCCTGTCTATTTTTCACAAATGAAAACAGCAGGGCGCTTCGCCACATCCTTTCCTCCATCCTCACGGTGGCCAAAAAAAATCAGAATTTGCTCTCCTGTGCCCTAGATTTCACAGCCATGGCAGATCCTGTTTGCCCTTGAACCTATTTATTTCTTTATTTGATCACGTAGTTGGTCTGACACCTTTCGAGCCCATAGACAGATAGCCTGCTTTGTATCTGGCTTGTGACTCAAGAAAGCTAAGGCCTCCTCGAGAACTTTAGCCCTGTCTGAACAATCATGCTGTGAACATCCCAGCACCAGCCGGAGGTGAGAAACTCACTTGGGGGGGGGGGAGGATCCTGCAAACAAGCAATGATGGCTGGGCTTTCTTTTGTTTTCTATCTGGAAATGCAAACCCTTTCTCTACCCTGCTTCCCCAAAAATAAGCCCTAGTATGGTTTTTTCAGGATGCTTGTAATATAAGCCCTACCCCAAAAATAAGCCCCAGTGAAGTGGAACCCTGCCCACCACCCTTGTGCAGCAACCAGAAGATGATAACATGACTGTATTTGAATAATTATAGATTGTGGTACATGAAAAAAAATACATCCCCTGAAAATAAGCCCAAATGTGTTTTTTTGGAGCAAAAATTCGTATAAGACCCTGTCTTATTTTCGGGGAAACGCTGTAGGACAGTGGTTCCCCAACCTTGGGACTCCAGATGTTCTTGGACTTCAACTCCCAGAAATCCTGGCCAGCAGAGGTGGTGATGAAGGCTTCTGGGAGTTGTAGTCCAAGAACATCTGGAGGCCCAAGGTTGGGGACCACTGCTAGGAGTTGTTCCCATGCATCTAATTTGATAGGAGTGAAAAATGCTAACTCATTAACAATTTGGATCCACCAGCTCTCTCCAGATTCCAGTGAAGCTGTCCCAGGCCTCGTGTCATAAAAGAGGGTCGAAGCAGCTGCCTCTTTCCTTTCAACAAAGCCTGCTCCATGCCAGCTGGCTTTCTGTGTTTTTCTCTCCCCCCTCCCTCCCTCCGCCCCTTGGCACGGCGTTTTACAGTCTGAATCCCACCATCCGGCTTTGCCAGAGCGAGTGTGCTCAGCTTTTCCAGAAAGTCCCCCCCCGCCCAAAACAGAAGCTGGCCCGGCTTGTGTCTGGATGGCGTTGCAGATTCCAGCCGAGAATCTCATGCTTTTTTTGGAGGGGGTGGCCCCCAATAAGTAAGAGAGACAAAACAAGCCCCCCCCCCACCACAGAACCACAGGCTGGAGAGCTGTAACAACCAGATAAATCCACGGAGAATAGATTGACAGTGATTCCTCGGGTCAAATAAATGGAGCCCCCCCCATCCATGGCAGTCTATCTGAGTTTGGCGAGGAGGTTCAGTAGGAGAGCAGTCCTACTTTCCGCTTGGATCTTTTCTTGGGTGCAGCAGAAAAATGAAACTTTTTCTGGGGGGAGAGGAACACCATCTCCCAGAATTTTGCCCCCTGTTTCGTCAACCTTGGGAAGAGTCTCCGAGCATGGCCGCTCAATTTAAAAAGAAACTTTCCTATCTTCTGGATCCAGCTGGTCAGTGGGAGAAACCGCCTGCTGGGGGGGGGGGGAAGGAGACCGAGGAAGGCCCTTTTGGGTCGTTATAAAATAAAAGTAATTGTTGACTATTGGAAAGAGAGTCCCGTCTAAATTGGATTTAAGATCAGGAACCAGAAAGAGGGACATCGGAGACCAAGGATTTCTAAAGAGATGCATGTCAGCTGCCTGACTTTCAAATGAAGCCTGGGTTTATATTCCAAAAATCCAATCAGAAAACAATGCACAATGACAACACATTTTGGTTGTGAGTTTACCGCTTTTCAATCATGAAGTACGGGTGCGAAATCTGGACCGTAAAGTAAGTTCATGGGGGGGGGGAATGGAAAGCTGTTGGGAAAAGGCAGGATTCTGTGACGAAGACAAGAATTTGGGAGAGGCAGCAGGAAAAGAGGAAGACCCCCAATAGGAGATGGACCGACTCCCTAAGGAAGCCACAGGCTTGAGTTTGCAGGACCTGAGCAGCGCTGTTGAGGAGGAGAAATTTTTGAGAATGGCTCGTTCATGGGACTGCCACGATTTGGAGTTGACTTGATGGCACATAACAGCAACGACATTTGGCCTTAGAAAGGAAGGTCAACCCACAGAGCAGCCCCTTGCGTGGGCTCGAGAATATTTGCCGATCCGGTTCCCCGAGAGATATGACACTCCGCCAGCCCTCTTGGGTCTCCAAAACAAACTTCCCAATGGATGGGTCGATTTCTTAACCTCCCCCAAGGCCATCTGTGTTCACTGTGGGTCAGCGCTCTTCACACATACACCCAAACACAGACACATCCCGTAGGCTGACTCTGGCATTTTTGGAGGGGTGTTAAGGAACGCACATTGATGCCGTTTTGTAAAGGAGGAAAGAGACACCAACCCCGGGACGGCTTTCATTGTTTTCCGGTTGCCATAACATCCTCGGGTGTGGGGGGGAACCCTCCAGGCCTGGTCTGGGGGAATCCAATGCAGCACAATCCAAATTCCATCAAAGATGGGACCCTCCATCCCATAACCGAGCATTTCGCCAAGGCCTGCCACGAAAGCACTAGCCCAACTGAAAGTATCTTAATTGCCGGGGAGGAAAAAAACCACAAACGGCTGGATCGCTCAGTGGTTTAAGTCTCTGGCTGGGTGGTGAGTTCAAATCCCCCCCCACTGGGGCCTCCTTATCAGGGGCTGCACTGGACGATCCAGAGGGGCCCTTCCAGCTCTGCCGTTCCAAGATGATAAGATGATTATTCTCCCCTCACTGTGGATCCCATCGCCCCCCCCCTTGTTCACCCTGGTCGGAATGGACATGTGAAAAATCAGTGAGGGTGTTCAGCGAAGGCTGGGCAAATGGGGCTTTTCGCCAACGATTGGCAAGCCTCCAGACCTTGGTGGCTACACATTCTGGGATTCGTAGTATGTACCACCAAACAGGAAGACTGCCAACTTTCTGGAGTGGAGAGAGGTGGAGTGTGCGAGTGGCCAGCTTTCCCAGTTTCAACCCACAACAAAACACACGGAGAAGGAAAATACACAAGCGCACACATGCCACAAACCCCCTCGGGTTTGATTTCACTTGAAACCCTTTGCAGCTTAAAACACACAGATCACGGAATCATCATCCTCTTGGAATGGCAGAGCTGGAAGGGACCCTCTGGATCACTGAGAGTCCACCCCCTGTCAAGGAGGCTCAGTGGGGGAATCGAACTGCCCACCAGATGCCTAAACCACTGAGCTATCCTGCAATTCGGAGAATAATGGAGTTGGAAGGGACCTCTAAGGCCATCTAGTCCAACCCCCATTCAATGCAATAATCTATGAGGCCGAACTGGTATATCTG